CCTCCTAACATTTGAGTTTTTATCTAGTCTTTCAATGTAGCTGGAAAAGTATAATATATAGTGACAGAACTCAAGGCATGGTAATAGAGCGTGTCTATATCCCCCAAACAATCTTCCACTATGCAGTTGCGTGTAGCACAGTAGGTAAAGAAGTCATTCCAGAATTTGTCTGTCCCAGCCTGTTCCTTACCTGTACGTAATGAGCAGCACCAGATAGCCAGGTAGTCTGTCAGAGATAATTGGAGAAATACCTGAAGAGTGGAGAGACCAGTAGCAGTAAGGGATACTGCATCAATTTCACTATGAGATTGAGAGGACTTATCTCATCATTTGTTTTGTTTTTCCTTGTGAAAAAGTGAAGTTACTGCATTAAGTTGTGTGTTTTTGAAAACGCTTAGGGGAGCAAGGACTTTTTGTTTGCCTATGTTTATTTTACCTGTCTAGCCAGTCCTGTTAATAAAAAGGCGTAGGACTTTATTTTGAACAAAGTACATCGTTGCGTGGTGTTTCCAACCTTGAAGACTGTGTGATTAAAGATCCCAGGTCACATATGGTGGAGATCGAGGGCACACACTATAGTCTGTTAAGGAAACAATACCACAGTTAAAATGGAAGGAATTGTAAAAGCCCTATTACATGCCACTATCACACAGAAGAAAACTACTGCCACCCAGCGGGAAAACATGGCAGTACTACAACAGCTGGTGTTAACACAAAGAGAGAAGCAGCAGAATGTCACTGGTGCTATGCAGCATGAGATCAACGACTTATCGTTGATTAAGTTGGAACAGTGTACTGCAGAAATACCACACAGTTCTAAGACTCTGAGAGTGAATATCTATTTACAAAAGCTGGTATCTACAGATGAAGTGGAGGCATATCTTATGGCTTTTGAAAGGACAGCTGAAATGGAAGGGTGGCCTAAGTCTGAGTGGGTGAGCCTCCTTGTACCAATTCTGAGTGGAGAAAGTCAAAAGGAGTATTATGACTTGGAACCTGCACAAGCCAGTGATTACAGCAAACTAAAAGTGGAAATATTGGCCCGCCTGGGAATAACAACAGCAGTAAGGGCCCAGCGATTTCATTCCTGGATGTATGATCAGAACAAGGCTGTGCGGTCACAGATGTTTGATTTGATACATCTTGCCAGAAAATGGTTACAGCCAGAGGTCAACTCAACTAGCCACATTGTGGAATGGCTTGTGATGGACTGGTTTCTGCATGGATTGCCTGTTTCCTAACGGCGGTGGGTCAGGCAGAGTGATCCGAAAACAGCAGATGAACAAATGGCTGTGGTAGAACATTATGTGGCTGCAGGAGAGTTTCTGCAAATCCCCAACCAGGAGAGACCTAGAACCCAAAGGATCCAGAGTCCCAGCAAATTGGGTAAGACTGTTCTGGGGAAAAGGGGGTCTCGGGAGGAGCAGATGGGTTTTTACTAACCAAGGGACAGTACAACAAAGGGCAAGAGTGTTATTCTGTTCTGAGAATGATTTTGCTATGGAATGTAATTTTGGCGATCTGAGGGATGAATCACTCTATTCTCATTTAGTATGTGCTATTACTGAAAGTGATTGTTTGAATGGCCACACTTGATGCACTGTAAGGGTAGAAAACAAAAATTGATGCTTCACTAGACTCTGGTAGCGTGATTTACGCTCATGGACAAGGGGATGTTTAGAAATATTCTTATTGACCATTACCAGAATCTAGATGTTACCTGTTACATGAAGACATACACAAATACCCAACTGCTGAAGTGCTTATTGAGACACAAAATGGCAGTGATTTTCAGCATTTCTTAAACTTATGGAATGATGCTGACAAAGTTTCCCTAGGTTCAGTAAAGGACACTGTTGGTGATTTTCCATTCACTGATTTATTGTGGGATGACCACAGAAACCCTAGTTGGCGATAACACTGAACCTGATGTGGAAATACCTGACTTAGAAGTTAGCCCTGGCAACTTTCGGAAGGGAACAGTGGAGTGATCCCACTCTAGCAGGGACTACAAACGATATCTCCATATGAAATGGGTCTCCTGTTAAAGGAGAACTATGGGGTTAGGGCTTTTCCCCATAGTTCTCCTAAGGGTAACGGGAGGACACAAACTAGCGTCCTCCCATCACCCTAAGCTCAGTATACCGCAAGCTACAATTATGTAGTTTAAAGGAGAACTATGGGGTTAGGGCTTTTCCCCATAGTTCTCCTTAGGGTAACGGGAGGACACAAACTAGCGTCCACCTTTCCCCCTAAGCTCAGTATACCACGAGCTACAGCTCGCGGTATACTGAGACGCCGCAGTATACCGCAAGCAGAATACCGTGAGCTGAGATGCCGCAGCGGATCCCGACAATTATGTCTGGATCAGCCCAGCTGCGTGAGTGACAGCTGGCTCTGCCTATCTAGAGGCAGAGCCAGCTGTACCCGCCCCCTCCCGCGTCCGTTCCGCCAGCCACCGCTGGAGGATCGGGGAGGGCAGAATCCAGCCCCTCCCCTGTCACGGCTCTCTGCCGCGACAGGATCGAGAAGTGAGCGAACGCCGGTATGTGTTCGCTCACTACCCGATCTACTGAGCCGACCTGTGACAGTCTCATTGTCACAGGTCGGCTAGAACTATGAGGATGAGTGAAAAGCACTCACCTCATAGTTCTCCTTTAATCTTGAAAAAGCACTGTCAAGCAGTTATTTGTACCTCAAGCCTATCGTCAAATTATTGTTATTCATGTCATGAATGCCAGTCAACTGCCCCTCATACAGCGTACCGTAGCCCCTTGGTACTCTTACCATTAAAGTGGTTTCCCAAGCTTCTACTGGGTTTTCACCCTTTGAACTCTTATACAGTAGACACCCCAGAGGGTTGCCAGATATAGTTAAGGAGACTTGGGAACAGGAGTCAACCCCTCACAGAAATGTAATAAAGAGCATATTTCCCAGATGCAGAAACGCATGACAGCCATTATGCCCATAGTTACTAAATACATGGAAAACACCCAACAACATCAGCAAAATAGCTACAACAAAAATTCCAGAGTTTATGTGTTTAACCTGGGAGATAGAGTGCTCGTCCTGGTCCCCACTGTAGAGAATCAATTTTTGGCAAAATAGCATGGACCCTATGAAATCCTTGAAAGATTGGGGGAAATGAACTATTAAGTAAGACAGCCTGGGCGGCAAAAGGAGATACAAATCTACCATGTGAACCTACTTAAGCCAGAGAAAATCTTGTAACGCTAAAGGCGGCAGACCTCCCTATTGAGAGGAGTGATCCCGTGGTCAATATCTCTGAGACCCTGAATATCCACCAGAAGAGGAAGGCACAAAAGTTTGTGAGATTGAATAAAGATGTTTTCTCCCCAATACCAGGAAGAACCACAGTAATAAAGCATGACATCATCACTGAGCCGGGGAACAGGATAAATCTTAAGCTGTATAGGATACCTGAAGCCCAGAGAGAAGCAATTAGGTCAGAAGTAAAGAAAATGATTGACCTAGGGGAATTCGATGAGTCCAAAGTGACTGGAATAGCCCAATTGTGCTTGTTCATAAACCCGATGGTACAATTTTTGTTTGCCTATGCTTATTTTGCCTGTCTTGCCAGACATGTTAATAAAGAGGCAAAGGACTTTGTTTTGAACAAAGTACATTGTTGTAAGGTGTTAAAGTAAAAGCCCCTTTTGTGATCTAGATACATTTGACAAAAAGCATGGTCAAGCTGGTGATCCTGTTTTGATAACATAACACGACAGAATCAACCAAAAATATCATCAAGTCCCCATAATTTTAGTGTTATTTTGTTGTTCTTTTTATCTCCCTATGAGAGTCTGGCTGTTTAATATAGTCTTGTTGCCCTTCTCTATAAATTGACCCTGGAGAAGGGAAAGATGAGAAGCAGGAAGGTTCATTTCAAGAAAAAACATTACATGGAAAGTGATTTAACTGGAGAAAAGGTTCAAGAATATTTACTGGGTTTAGTGGCTGGGGGAATGAGAGTATAGAGCAGTGGTGCTCAACTTGGCACACATAAAAGTGTGCCCCCTGACATGTGCAAAGCCAGCAATGCATGGAGACTCTCCACAAAACTATTGCCAGGACACGGATTACAAACCAGGAACTGCTTTCTACTGAGCACTTCCTGGTTTAATCTCTGCAAAACAAAATTAGTGAACTCAGATGCAGAGGGATAGAGGCTACACAAATAAAGGATTGTTCATGAGCAAACATATTCCATACTTGATTGACTACCTAGGAAAGGGAGATTCATGATATATGGGATATATCACTTACAGTCAAATATATAACCATGGCATTATTATACCATTGTGATGTTCTAAAATAGGTAATCAAAAGATGCTGTTTTTTTGTTACAGTACAATTAATCAAAAGGCAATACATATTTATAAAAAATACATTAAAGTGTGATTTTTTGTTTTAGGCATGCTGCGAATCGAAAGCAAAATTTCTCTCTAGAAAAACAGTGGGGGAAATTTATCGAAACTGGAGCAGACAAAATCTGGGGCAGCTGTGCATGACAACCAATCAGCTTCTCTCTTCATTTTGTTTGGTTAAGATTTGAAAACGTGACAGAGGCTCTGCTTGGCTACCATGCACAGCTGCTCCAGATTTTGTCTGCTCCAGTTTTGATGAATTCCACTTAGTGTATTATAGTGTAAATACAAAAAAAAAGTTAATAGTTATTAGCAGTTTAACTTGCACACTGCAGAGTGACACATTTTTGCCTGCTCAAAAGTATATGAAATATTGCAGGTTATGAAGGGGTTAAGCACAAGCATGTTTACAAACAGTACGCTGTATACTTAGCAGTTTTTAAAAATATCCTTGGTAACATGTATTCATATTATTCCTTGCTTCAGATAATATTATATAGGCCACAGATATGAAAGCAGCCAGAAACAAGCGTTTAGTAATCTTCCAGCAATTCTGTCTACAGAAAAAAAATGTAATACTGTCTTAAAAATGAATTTTGCTACAGGCATTACCTTGACATCGCCCCAAATACTTGACTTCAATTTTCTCCTGCTTCTGGCATGATGCCTCTTTGATTTGACAAGGATTATCATAAGATTTCCCATCGGAAGCACAAACTGGATTGAAACTGATGTGGGAACAGTCGATGTTGCACACACACCTATGAAAGTACAAAAGTAAAGCAGTTTTAAATGAATGTTACAAGATACAAAACATTTTGACAAACAGACTGTGCTTTTCATCAAACGCACCAACAATCTCTATGGATTGTATGCTATAGTCAGGAACAACTATTATTAAAATGTACCTAAAACTGACATTTCAAGAGCCTTATAAGCTTAGGAATATAAAAAATTGTAAAAAGGGTGAGATAGAGCAGGCAGATGAATGACCCATGTTAAGGGCATGTAACTCCATATGATTCAGAAGGGGTGGGGTACATGTTTGCTTGTCCCTTTTCTGGCCAGCCAAGTTACATGCTAGAATAGGGGTCTGGTGTTGATTTTGGAGGTGGGTCTGGTATGTACTTTTTTTGTTTTTTGCATGAAGGTTCCCCCTAAAGTTCATACCAAATCTTTATCAAGGATAAGGGTCTGTCTTCCAGGGAATTGTACGTGGAACCTATGCATTTTTTTAAGGCATCCCTAAGGATGTTATTTAAAGACATTTTTAATGTTGCCCTTTTAATCTTATTAAAAGAGAAACTCCCTGCTGAACGGTATTTGTAAAAACTTTTTTTGGCATTGAAGCATGTCCCTCCTGGCAGTGCCCAGCTACCCATGTGCTTTTTGACAATCCCTTATCTATTAGCCATGTAGAGAAATTATTTTGATTTGCCTCCCATTGACTTCTATCAGGTTTGCATTGAAGTTCACAAATTGTGAAGTTTTTGACGGATTTGCCAAACTGCCCATAAATTGAACCCAAGCAGATTTGCCACTATTCACTATCACTATTCCTGACTAACAAGGTGCCCGCTAATAGATGCCCCAAAACAGACCAGCAGCACATGTACCTTTTGTAGTGTTCTGTTAACACTTACTGTAGGTCTTCACCCAGCAGTAGTGATGAGCCGAACACCCCTGTGTTCGGTTCGAATTCGAACATGGGAAAATTTAAAATTTGAACTCGAACTCACTGCAAGTCTATGGGGGTAGAACTTTGAAAATCAAATGTCCCCATTTTGAAGCCCTATAGGCAATGTATTGGCCATAAAAAGTGTATGGGGATCTGGGTATTGCCCTGGGGGACATGAATCAATGAAAAAAAACTTTAAAAAAATACAGTTTTTAAAGGAGAAGTGATTTTAACATCACTTAAAGGGTAATAATAAAATTGAGAAAAATTCCTTTAACCACTTGCTGTCTGGCCATTGTAATTAAATGGCCGGACAGAGGCATCTTGAGGGCGGGTGGGTGTTTTTAAACGTCCTATCCCGTTCCGCTCGTGCCCACCACTAGGCAGTGGGCACAAGCGGGAAACCGGCCTTGAATGTAAACAGCCAGCGATGGCTGTTTATATACAAGCGTTCAGGTGTCTGTAGAGACGCCCGATCGCTTGTAATATGTGGTCGGGTGTGCGCTCAACTCCCTCCGTCGCCGCAGCTGCTAGCGATCCAGGGCTCCGCTGTTCCCGGTGTGAGCCCGTTTGATCTCCTCTCCTTTTCTGAATGCAGGCAGTGATGTGTATTACATCACTTCCTGCATTCAGTGTCACTCTCCGGTACAGAAACCGGAGAGAAGCTGGTGAAGCAGGTCTCTGCTTCATCAGCTTCTCTGGGGGTCCCAAGGTGACATTAGGGGTCTTAAAGACCCCTGATGTCTGCAAAAGAGGACCTGTCACTGCAAATTGCCTATCACATAGGGAGCTTGTTTGCTCCCTATGTGATAGCAATAAAGTTCAGTGGGAAAAAAAAAGGTTTAAAAAAATGTAAGTTAAAAAAAAAAAATCACAAAATTAAAAATCACATATCAAAGCAATAAAAAAATTAAAGTCCCCCGCCCCCACATGCACACGCAAACATGCGTCAAGCCCGCCTACGTGCAAAAACGCCAATTACATCCATTGCGCCACACATGTTATATATCGTCGCGAACGTCGGAGTGAAAGCAATAATTTTAGGGCCATTAATCATGGATAACACTAAACTGATGAGCGGTAAAAGCTTTTAAAGCGTCGGCTATGGTCAATTTTGAGTATGGTAGTTTTTTGCGATTTAACGGATGCGCGCAATTTTAAAGCTTGACATGTTTGGTGTCTATTTACCCGACGTTACCCTGTTTTTTATATTTTACCAAAAAATTGGGTATTAATAAATGCTTTATAACATAACGTAGGGAGAACAGGGTTTTTTTCAACATTTTCGGTACATTTTTCATTATATAGTTTAAAAAAACCCTGTAGTGGTGATTAAATACCATCAAAAGAAAGCTCTATCTGTCCCCAAAAAATGGTATAAAATTAATTTCAGTACAGCGTTGCATGACGGAATAAATGTCAGTCAAAGTATCGCAGCGCTGAACACTGAAAAATGGCCAGGACAGGAAGGGGGTATAAACACCCCGGTCAGCAAATGGTTAAATATCGTGCCTGGGGGGTCCCATTCAACTGCCTGTAAAGTGACACATCTGTACAATATATAGAACCTGCTGGAGCAAAACTAACATTTCTAAAGAAAAAAAAATTTTTTTTTTTTAAAGTGTGCGGTTCCCCCTCCCAAACAATACCAGACCCTTCAGGTCTGGTAGAAATGAGGGACCCCATTAAAAAACAAAAGCATGGGGTTCCCCCCAAAAGTCGTACCAGACCCTTAAGGTCTGGTAGGAATTTTAGGCGGGACCAAATGAAAATGAATGAAACAAATATGAATGAAACAAATAAAGTGTGTGGGGTTCCCCCCTTCAAAGCCATACCAGGCTCTTAAGGTGGAAAAAACGTGCCCCCCCCCCTAAAAATCCTCACCAGACCTTTGATCTGAGCATAAGCCTGGCAGGGCAGGAAAGGGTGGGAGACGAGCGAGCACCCCCCCCCCTCCTCCCTGCGATACCAGGCCACATGTCCTCGGCACTGGGAGGGTGCTTTTCCAGGTGTGGTCAGGTGCAAGGCTTTAGCCAAATGGCTTCAGAAGGCACATTGCCTTATGGGGAGCCCTGATCGATCATGTGTTCGGTGAACATACGAACTAGCGATGTTTGAGTCAAACTCACGTTCGACCTGAAAACCGAGGCCATCACTACCCAGCAGCAGGCTCCCACAGAGAGAACCCTGAGCATCGTTCAGCTCACATATATAAAGACTTGGTGACTTATACCAAGGTCTGGCAGACAGGTAAGATGTGGATCTAGATGTGGACTACCCAAAGCTCTACAAAGCCTCTTGGCTTAGGGACCCAGAAGAGGACTTACTAAGATTCTGACGATTTCTCAATATCAGTCATAAACTCCTCACCTAGCTGACACATTTACATCATCCACAATCCTCCCAGCCTTGACTCACAGTTGCAGCAGTAAAGTTGATCCATCAATTGGTTGATGTATGGGCACCTATACAGTTAGCTGGCATTAGCACTGTACCGTGTCCAGCTGAATAAGGGAACGCATAGCATGTGCATGCTGATCTGCTAGCTACCTCCATTAAAGTTTGCACTTTTTTTATGTAAATGCATGGGAGGGTAAGATAGGGAGCCATCTTTGCAAACATGCAGTGTATTATAACATTATTATTATTATTATTATTATTATTATGAATAATAAAAGTACCAACAATAATAGTGTAATATACACCCCTTCTATAGAGTGCCATCAGTATGGCTTGCTTTAAGTTTTATCTTCATGAACAGCACATTTCATCATCATAATATTCTGCCTGCTGGCAAACAATGTGACACCTCTCCACATTTGAGCAAATAAAAATGTATTAAGTCAAGCTACACAAACCTTAAAGGGACCATTTCTTGAAAGAAATCTAAAAAATTGTCAGTGTTGACTTCCAATTCTGACAGTGGTTGTTGCTTGACTGTCATGCTGACCCCCATGGCTCTAAAATAATTAGTTAGCCCAGAACAAGCATGCAGCTAGGGACTTCTGACTTTAATCCAACATTTTATGATTTGCATATTTGTTCTAGGTAAGTTCCCGAATCAGTACAGTAAGTCCCCTACTTACGAACTTTCAAGTTCCGAACTTTCAAAAGATGCGAATGTGCTTTTGCATGTCCAATCACGGAAGTTCGTTCACGTGTTTTGCGTACATTGTCACGTTCATCTGTTAAAACTAGCTGTGCTTTTGTGTACTTTATTGTATAGTACTGTACTAGTACAGTATCTAGCCCAGGATGTCTGGAAGCAAGCGTAAAAGCAGCGGTGATGTAGCTTACCCTAAGACGTGCCAAGCGATAACGATGAAAACAAATGTAAAAATAAGAGACTGGAGCCATGTGAAAAGATGTTAGACATAGCTCGTTCTTATAACATGAATCATTCAACCATCGGCAAGATTTCTAAAGAACAGGGACAAGATCATAGAACATGTGAAGTCTGCTGTGCCGATGATGTCCACAATAATAATGAAGAATCATGGAAAAGTGATGGAGGAGATGGAGAAACTTCTCAGTGTGGATGCATCAAGTCCCGTTCATCTTAATGCTGATTCAAGGAAAAGCTAAAAGCCTTTATGAAGACTTGAAGAAGAAACATGGCGAAGATTTAGAGAGTGCATATTTTAATTCAAGCCATGACTGGTTTCATCGGTCCAAGGCTAGAGCCAACCTTAACAATGTGAGACCCCATTCACACGTAGCGACATACCTTTTGCAGCGGATCCGCACGGCCGGGATAGCGCGACTTTCGGGACGACGTTCCAGCGACGATCCAGCGACGGTAGCGCGACCTTCTCCATAGCGCGAGTCCAAAGAGCTCTTCTGCAACATAGTGACCCTCGGTGAGAAGCTGGAGCTAGATCTTTAAGAGAATGACTTAATTGAACTCCTTGCAGTGCAACACGAGGAGAGAGTCAAGAGGAAGAAGAATTAACTGAAGAACCGAAGAGATTCACAACGCAGGAAATGGTAAGGGTATTACTGCAAGATTAAAAATGTTTTCTTTATATTTTTGTGTTTGTTTTTTATGTATTATTTGTGTGAAAAGTATTCTAAACCTATCAC